TTTTGAGTTCTGGGTATGATCTGTTTAGCGTTTTCAGATCCTTTGACTTAGCCGATCAAGTCACCCCAAAAGCTGTGGCCGAGAAATCACCGCCCACCCCAAACTTCCTGCAAACTTGCCAGGCCCAAACCTTTGCAGAGGGGGAGTGCTGCTGCGATGTGCCAGGCAAAATGGTGCCAGGTCGTTCCCGCGGCTTCGGGATCCAGAACCCAATCTCACCCCATGCGCATGGGTTTTGGACTCAACCTCACAGGGTTTGTGATGCGTTTGGGCTTTCGTATTTGCCGTTATGCCGACGTATGCAGGATTGACGATCTCAGTGTGTCTTCGCCCGAGTTTAGGAGCTTAGCCAAGATGAGTTGAAAGTTTCGGACTCCCATGCAGACCTTTGGCTTGGCTTATAGCATCTCAAAGGGCAGCTCGCGTTTGCCTCTTCCGAACATTCACCTCGTGGCTTTAACAAGTCAATTTCAGTAGGGTTCTGGGGTACCGGGTGTAGGGTTGAGGGTTCGGAGGTTTAGAGTTCAGAGTTCTGGGTTATATGTTCGCTGCATATGTCGCATAAAGGAATACGATTGGTGATAACTCAGGCTTCAATTTTCGTTTGACAGCCTTGGTTTTACTTGGCCGTTCAGGTTTGTTTTGCTTTTGCCAACGTGGATGCAACATGAACCCTAAACCCTGTATCTCAAATCCTTGTAACCCCGATAAGCCCTATAAACCCTAAACTCTGTAAGCCTTGCACTTGTAATTACACCCGCTCGCTTATTGGTACGATTTCGGTGTTGGCGCCATGGGTTTCCTGGGTAGACATACCTCGATGTTTGAGCCCGCATCTCGTGCCGCAGCCTTCTGATCAAGCCGCAGAACGCGAGGATCGGAACAGAAGATCCTTGAAGACGCGAGGACTTGATATACAGCCGGAGTGGAGAGTCAACGTTTGAATCTCCGGGAGGCCCTCTCTATAGGGTGCAGAGTGTCTGAATTCGGAGTTGATGGATACCCAGATAGAGCGAACCCAAAGGCAGACACCTGGACTGTGTCCAGAACCCCCGAGTGGACAAGCTCCAGAAAAGCCGCTGGACCTTCTGCAATAGGAACCCGTTCCTGTGCTCTGTACAAATCCTCCGGGCAGTGTCCAAAGAGGCAAAAGCCCACCTGGAGAGCCATGTCTTCGCCGGCGCAGGGCGACTCGAACGACCCTTGCATTATCTAGCATTGGGGTATTCGGTGATGACATTGTTAGGGTTCCCCAATGTACATATACCTTAACTCTGATTTACTTGATATTGGGGGCCAGGACTGTCCTTGTGGATGTTCGCATGAATAGATTTGCTGATCTAGTTCTTGGTGCCTGATGCTTGCGGCTTATGTATGCAAACACTTACACACACAGACACACACACACACAACGGTCTGTACTAGTTGTATCCCGCCACATGTGCGGTTGTTTGTGCAAGTGCCTGTTTGCAAGTACTTAGGTTTGTCCGCATGCATGTTTGTTTGCATGCTTGCTCGCTGATCTGCTTATGCGTTCGTGTCCATGCATGCATGCCTGTATGTATGTAGGCATGCAGCATGTATGGACGGATGCACGTATGTATGTACGCAGGTGCGTGCATATGTATATGTACGTAATTGCAGATGTGCATATGTATTATGCACGCATGTGTAAATGAAATAGCGTAGGTGTGTATATATATATATGTATAATATGCACACACATACGGCGACCACTTCTGTTAGCAGTTCCGAGAGGCTGCAGTGAATCATTATGGTACGCCGAACCCGAGTGCCGATACCCTAGAATCCTTCAGCCCCTGTATGGCATCTTCCTTTCTAACGAAAACTTCGAAGAACGAGAAGCTACAAGCAACTCCACTTGTGGTAGACATGCCTCGAGGGCCTGATGGAGTGGGCGGCCTGCACCCCGGCACCTGATGACACGTCGATGTTGGTGAGGAGGTTTGTCCCTGGCGGAAGGAGTTTTGGAGTCCTTTGGAACTTTTCCGCACGAACTACGATGAGAGTTTGCTGGTGCATTAGCGGCAGTACGGTGGCCATGTAAGTGTCCTCATGTTGTCCCGCTCCCCCATAAAAACCGTTGGAAGTGTCAGAGCACGCACGGACGGGGCATAGGCTGTGTGTTGCCTGTTGCAGGGGGCTATTTGCGGCCTTTGCTCCGATGAGAGCGTGGCTGCCAACAAGATCGGTGATCGTCTAGAGTAGCTGAGCACAAAAGCGTGATGCTGGCGTGAGACTAACTTCTAGTCCCTTCATCTTTCGCATCGCATGCTCAATCGGCTTTGTTGGCTGAGCCCCCAGATGCCTCGAGTTTGCTGGGTCTCTGGGGTTCGGGGTCACGTCGTAGGATGTCTTTTGATCGAAATCTCAGGCACGTGAAAGTGTCGATGTGGCCGGGTAGGATCCCCCAAGAACCAAGGCCGAAGTCCGCAAACGCAACAGCGTCTCGGGCGTCGGCGTCTCAGGCTCAGTATGAATTTCTCAGCATGTTGCCCCCGCTTATTTCGTAAGTATGTACGCAGGTGCCTGCATATGTATTATGCAATGTACGTACGTATGTACGTATGTATGCACGTATGCGTGAATGGAAAACGAATACATGCACATAAATACATATATATATATATATATACACACATGTGTATTTGTCTGCATGCACGGCGACTACTTCTGTTAGAAGTTCCGAGAGCACTTGGTTCTGTGCTGCAGTGAATCATTGTGGTACGCCGAACCCGAGTGCCGATACCCTAGAATCCTTCAGCCCCTGTATGGCATCTTCCTTTCTAACGAAAACTTCGAAGAACGAGAAGCTACAAGCAACTCCAACTGTGGTAGACATGTTTCGAGGGCCTGATGGAGCGGGCGGCCTGGACCCCGGCACCTGATGACACGTCGATGTTGGTGAGGAGGTTTGTCCTTGGCGGAAGGAGTTTTGGAGTCCTTTGGAACTTTTCCGCACGAACTACGATGAGAGTTTGCTGGTGCATTAGTGGGAGTACGGTGGCCATGTAAGTGTCCTCATGCTGTCCCGCTCCCCCATAAAAACCGTTGGAAGTGTCAGAGCACGCACGGACGGGGCATAGGCTGTGTGTTGTCTGTTGCAGGGGGCTATTTGCGGCCTTTGCTCCGATGAGAGCGTGGCTGCCAACAAGATCGGTGATCGTCTAGAGTAGCTGAGCACAAAAGCGTGATGCCATCCTGATGCTCCCATCTTTAGTCGGCGTGAGACTAACTTCTAGTCCCTGCATCTTTCGCATCGCATGCTCAGGCCGCTTTGTTGGCTGGGCCCCGAGTTTGCTGGGTCTCGGTGTTAGTGGTCACGTGGTGGGATGTCTCGTGATTGAAATCTCAGGCATGTCAAGCTGTCGGTGTGGCTGAGTAGGATCCCGCAAGCCAGGATACACCTCGTGTTCCCACACATTTGGAAGTCGTTCATTGCCCGAGAACCAAGGCCGAGGTGAAGAAGCGGCACCTGGCCGCGGCCCAAGGCGTCCCAGGCTCAGTATGATTTTCCCAGCATGTTGCGTCCGCTTATTTTGTAAGGGACTCTTTGGTGAGGAAGCTTCTGCTGCACGAAACAGCAGGGCCAAGCCCAGGAACATCATACACGCCTCAAGTCAAGATGAGTTTTAGAGCCCCAGGATGCTTACTCCACTCCAAAGTCCAAAGCGCGCTTCAGGTGCCGGACGAGCTCAGGCTCGCCGCGCGCGAGGTACAGGCAGAGCCGCAGAGGGCTGGGATAGCAAATTGGAGCTTAGGGCGCGTGGCTGAGATTGTGGTTTCATTCATGACCCAGGGTTCGTGAGCTAAGTCAGTTGATCCATCTGCGGCAGCAGCAGCACCACCACCGCCAACAACAAGACCAATAACCAGAACAGAAGAGCAGCAGAAAAACAAGGACAACAGTAATACAACCGACAAGAAGAACAATTATAGTCATAATCATAATAATCACAGCAATTCAATAACAACCTCAAGGATAGCAACAATAACAATAACAACGACAGCAGCTTCAACGACAACTACAACAACAGCTACAGCAGCAGCAACAGCAACAACAACAACAATACGAACAACAACAACAACAACGACAACAACAGCAGCAACAACAGCAATTTGCAATTGGGCGCTGCGCGAGCGGACTCCAAACATGGTGGGCGATTTTACGGGTAGCAGCGCCATACAATACCACCACCACCACCAGCAGCAACAACAACAAGAGCAGCAACAACACCACCACCACCACCAACAACAACAACAACAGCAACAACGACAACGACAACGCCACCATCACCACCACCACCAGCAACAACAACATCAACAACAACGACAACAACAACACCCGCAGCTGCAGCCGCAACAACAGCAACAATACGGGCAGCAATACGAACAACAACAACAACAACAACAACAACAACAACAACAGCAACAGCAACAGCAACAGCAACGCCAGCAGCAGCAACAACAACAGCAACAACAACGACAACGACAACAACAGCGATAACGCCAACGCCACCACCACCAACAACAACATCAACAACAACAATAATACGAGCAGGAATACGAACGACAACAACGACAGCAACAACAACGACGACAGCAACAACAACAACAACAACAGTAGCAGCAACAGCAATGACAACAACGGCAACGGCAACGACAACACCACGGCCACCACCAACAACAACAGCAGCAGCAACAACAGCAGCAACAACAACAACAACAACAACAACAACAACAACAACACGAGCAGCAACAGCAACGACAACGACCACGACATCAACAGCGACAGCGGCAACGACAACGACACCACCACCACCTTCTTCATACGCAGTAGAGAAGTCCGTCGACTCTACTAGCGAGCGCCTTCACTGCCAGTCTTCTGCTGGCATCGGCTGCTCGTGGCAGCAGCGGCACTAGTGCCCATATGGGCGAGGAACGCGCCTAAGCGCCTAATCATGGTTTAACCATGATGCTCAATCGTCCAGCGAATGCAAATCACGAACCAAGTCGTAGCGGATCTTGTTGACTCTGCGATTGCTGTACAAGTATGCATGTCTGTGGATCAGCAGTTGCATCGAATGAAGCTCGAGCTGCACCTTGTCCAGATGACGTTGCATGAGCTGCATCTGCACTTCCAACTCCTTGATTTGGTAGTTCATGATGCTCATGTGGGCCGTCACCCATGCATCCCCGTACCTGCGAAGCAGAAACTGATCGTTGCTGTCTGACATGGCTGGAGGGCACGATAAAAGCTAAGGAGTCTAGATGCTGTGGGTCCGGATCGTCATGCAGCACAAGGAGCAGCATATAGGAGTTGCAGGATGCATGCCGAACCTCAGCCATTGTGGCCTTTTTGATCGCACGATTGTCGTCTAGAAGTCTGAACCCCGCCCCGTCAGGAATCAAAGTAGAGTAGTGGCCTGATGTGAAGCAGTGGCCATGGTGTATGGTCAATGCAACTAGGCGGTACCGGCACCATACTGTGTCGAGACTGTCGGCCTGTTCGAAGACCGGAACGCGGAGGCTGCGTGGCATCCTGAATTGATCTGTCCGCTTGCTCAAGTGGGGTCCGTCTGCCGCAGTACGTGGCAGTTGCACAAGCAGCCATGGTGCCTGACTGGTCAGTGCATGCAGTCCTGACTGATGATGCCACCTGAAGAGCAACTGTTGAATGTCAGGGCTTGTGATTTCCGTGAAGCTTAGGGACAGGCACTGGTTCAATGCAGATTGGTCCAGTATGCGCAGCACGCCTTCCTCGGAACGGCGGGCTTGCCATGAGACACAGCGAGCATCCGGCAAGAGTTTCGGCAGAACAAAGTCTGCAAACTCCACAATGTCGTGTTGAGCATGGGGCCTGCCCCATCCCAGCATACAGAAGCCGAAGGCTTTGTAGGCACTCAGTATCCTGCCAGGTTCTGCTCGAAAGGATGGCGGGAGGATACGAATGGACAGAAGCTGCTCAAGAACATACATGCTGTTGGCAAAGGCATTCATATAGCAGTGGTTACCAGGGTTGTTTAGGGCCGGGAAGCTTAAGGGGTTGGGGTCGATGGTGGCACGCGGGGCGCGGGGAGAGGTGAGCTGGGGAGCATGAGGGCGGTTATCAGCCGTAACAAGATTGCCAACTACAGCGGGCCTCCCACATATGTGAGGCTGGCCAGCTCCTTCGCCAAGTGTTGGCGTGGGAGGTCGTCCACTTTCATCGAGAACCCTGCAAGGTTCGTGACCGCCAGTCCGCACAGTGTGCGGAAGTGGAGCCAAGTATCCTCGGCATTCTCTCCCCGCAGAGCAATCTCCAGCTGAAACGTGGCCTGCTGGTGACCCTGTTCGGACAGCTTCCACAGAGGTTGTGTGGATTGGAAGTGCTGTATGATGGTTCCCGACATCTGCTCGTGGAGAGTGCTGAGGATTCTGGTGGCTTCTGCATGTGTTAAGGGCTCCTTGCTCTCGTCTGGGACCAAGCGTCTTTCCTTGGGGTTCCACTTTACGTAGTTCCAGGAGCCGTTTTCCTGGATCCATTGGGCCTTCTGGAGCGAGGCCCTGCCTTGCTCTGTCGAGGCGACCCGCTGGAGTCTTGCCAGAAGTTCCTTGAGAAGACATCCCATCAACACGGTCTTGAGAGGCGACTTCAATGACATGTCCCCGGCTGCTCGTTTGTCGTGCCACTCCTTGGAGATTTGCATGAGATTGGGCAGCAGGCTGTGTTCGTCCTGTCTGAAAAACAGAACGTAGTTCTTGTCCTGGCGCAGGCCTGATAGGGCTGCTTCGTGTTTGAGTAGCAGCTTGCTCATCAATCTCATGGTAGGATCCATTGGCATCTGAGCCGGCGCGGGGTGTTGGGCATTGTAGTGGTAACCGTTGCTCGGTCCGAACGGCCTCCGCCTCCCCTGAAACCTGGTGTTCTGGTCGGGCCTCTGACGCTTCTGAGGTTGCTCCTGCTGAGAGGCCCGTTCCGGCTGAGAGGCCTGTGCTGGAGAGGAGCCTGCCGGCTTCGCTCCCAGTTGCCCTCAGGGCATGCAATGAGCGAAGATCTCCGATTCCAGAGTCCCCGACATCCTGGCGGTGCAAGTTACGTTGGCAGAAAATCGTGGCTAGGCAGAGCTGATGCAGGACTGTGCACTGGACGGAGTGCCTGGAGGCAGCTCCGACGTTCGTCCCACAGTATCTGCAGCTACGGTTCCTGGTGAACTGGCTTTTGAATGTGGCACTGAGTGCAGTGGCAGCATCCCTGAGATCTGGGAAAGAGGTATGGTGTGTCCGATTGAAGTGTTGTTTCATATGCTTGGGTGTCGCAATCCACATGCCACAAAGAACACATCTGCAGGAGAGTTGAGCCTTGGTGTCACGGCAGGAAAGTAGGGCTTCCCATCGTGAGAGGTTGCCATGAAACTCAGGTCGGGCAATCAATGGTACATAGGCCTCCTTTTCGCACTGTGCTACAGCCTCGGAAGAGTCAGCCGGAGCGGTGCCCCGATCAGTCGTAGTGTTCCGGCTGGTACCTGACATGTGGTGATTGTCGGGAGCAGGGGGATGAAGCATGAAACTTGCACCTCCAAGGTGGGGGCACGAGCATCGTTCAATGTGGAGCTTCAATTGCCGCCACTTCGTGAAGCTTCTGTGGCACAAGCGGCATGTCGGCATGCCATCAATGGCGTGTGCGGTAGCTGAGAAGGTGACCCTGGGTCGTGGAGCCTTGCTAACTTCTTGTGGTGCAAACCAACATGGATGCGGAGGGCATGGGAGCTAGGAAGTTTCCGATCGCAGTGGGGGCAGACTACACCTAGCAGGGGTTCCGGATCGAAGTCAGCAGTTTGTGGGGAGGCGCGCTCAGCTTCCAGCTGTGAGCTCAGCGCACAGTGATGAGTGAGGAGCTCCGCCATTTGCCGCTGCACCTCATCGTTACAGATGATGTCCGGCCCATAGTGCGAGAGGTCTGGGGTTTTAGCAGCCTTAAACCTCTGCATGCGGTGTTCAAGCTGGGAGTCAGGCGTAGGCAGACCAACGGTGCTCCAGACAGCCTGGTTCGTGGTATGGGAGAGGTGGGCAGGTTGTTTGAGGATTGCCCGAAAGTGGCGGGTACACAACACGTGAAGCTTGCGAAGGCCCTTTAGGGCGCAGCCTACAACCTCAAGGGAGTACAGGAAATAGCTATTGATACAGGCAGTCCAGAGTCTAAGACGGTGCTTGGTGCTGAGTGGGTTGCGACCGTTCAGAACTTTTCGGATCTGCTGATATCGGCTTTGGGCTGCAGAGATCCTGTGAGCTACATTGAGGTCACGGCGATTCTTATAGGCAATCTTAGTACCTAAGTAGACATGCGAATCGCAAATCTTAAGAAATTGTTCCTGCCCATTAACCTGGATGCGCAGGTGTGGCACCCCTTGTTTGTGAACGATTCGTTCGGCTAAGATTTTCCGTGCTTCCTTGCCCCGAACATTCATGAGGAGTGCAGTTTTCTGCAAGTTGACAGTCAGGCGGAACTGGGCAAGGATTTCAAGAATGAGCTCTAGGTCACTGATGGCTCTGAGGAGGTCACTGCTGCTGGTGATTCGCCAGCAGCTGCATAAGTCGTCAGCAAACGCTGTAAGGCACCTGTGGAGCCAGGCAAGACTGCGACGGTGGATCAGGGTCTCCATAATGGAGAGGGTAAGGCTCAGCCACAGTGTAGGGGCTGCACGGCATCCTTGCTTTATGCCGCAGATGGTGATAGTTTGGCCGGTGGCCTGCTCAAGGCGGAAAAAAATACCTTGCGGATTTATGCAGCTGCTGGATAGCACCTACAACATCTTGGGAGACACCGTGATCAAGGAGTGACTCAGTGAGTTTGTCACGGCACACCGAGTCAAAGGCTTTTGACAAGTCGAGCGATAAGCACATTCCACCGAAGCATGTAAGGCGAGTGGCTCCCGAACGAAGGCTGAATCTATTGCTAGCCTGGCTTTGGTGGAGCTGCTCCACCTGTTCAAAGTGCTGGTGAACACGCAAAATGGCATCGCTGCAGCCCCGATTGGGGCTGTAAGCGTACTGTGGCATGTGATCAAGAAGGGGCTGAAGGTGAGCCTGGATCTGCTGGGCAAGGTCTGCTGCGATGACCTTAGCACAGGGCGGCATTAACCCAATTGGGCGCAGAGCACCCACCGTAACAGGTGGCTTGCCTGGCTTTTCTAACCACATCACATGGGCATCTTTGAGATCCCCAACCAATTGGGCTGTGGAGCCTGCGGAGAAGTGCCTGGCCAACAGGGGCCCGAGCCGGTCACTGATGCATGAGGAGCACAGCCTCCACGAAGCGGCCGGAGCACAGTGCCCCGGGACAGCCTTCCGAACATTCAGTTTGCTAAGGGCAGTGGAGAAGGTATGGCTACCGAGACCGAGTGTGCCTTGCTGGGGTAGCTGTGGAATGGAGTCCGGGCGTGCCGCGAATGTGGCATTGCCACAGGCCACAATGGCCTCCATGGCAGCACTGCTACCAAGGATTTTGCCTGCAGGGTCCTGCAGCCTGATGGTGCCCCTGTGGCTGCGTGGTGCCAGTTGCCTGGCAACTTGAAACAGAGCTCGCTGGTCCCCCTGGCATGCAGCCTGCTCGGCCTGTGCAATGCGATCCTGGAGAAACTGCTTTTTCAGTGCCATGCTTTGGGATCGTAGGGCCTTGGAGGCTCGAAGAAAGGCAGTGTAGTGCTTGAGGCGGTCGAAGATGTTCCGAACTAGCAGCAATCCCGATCGACGGAATCTCCTATGCAACTCCCAGGTGGCACTGGCTGAGGCTCGGAACTCGGGCTGAGCACTGACCCGACAATCTTTGCGACCTATCGGAGGAAAGAATTTGCAGGTCTCCTCTTGAAGAATGATGTTGACCGCTTCATGTTCAGCACACAAGTCAGGGCTCGGCGGCTGCTGCTGGAGGCTGCTTGTGCTCATAACTCCGCTGCTCTTCAAGCAGCTGTGCTAAGTAATTCTGCCCAGGCTCAGGCCCTTTCGGACTCCGTGGCACGCCGGCACTGTGGCTGGAACTCGTACGGGAGGAGACTTGTTTGCAGGTGTAAGGGCAGGTGATTTGTGCAGCGATGGGCACCCACCGGGAATCCCGGCATGGGCGAGGAGTGTCGGGCTCCTCTGTTCGCATCCTGCAGTCTAACAATGACATAGTCGATTTGACTCTGAACGCCCGGGGCTGTGAAGGTGTGGGACGGCCTTGAGTGCCATGTGTTGGCCGCTGTGAGGCGGTGGCCCCGCACCAGTGCCTGAAAGGCCGAGTCATAATTGCTATGCGATTGTCGGCTAGGAGCTGCTGGGCCAACGTAGGGATGTTCGGGCTGCAGGGTTGAGTTGAAGTCGCCAGCAACAAGCATCATGTGCCTCGCCGGAGTAGCACCGACGAGCTGCTGCAGCTTGTGCCAAACCTGACCCCGGATCTCCTTATTCTTTTGTGCGCCTAGATGTGGTCGGTGGACGTGCTGGTAGACACCAATCAGTGTAACTGTGCGCTTGCTGGCAATGTGCTGTGCCTGGATCTGCAGAAGGCGGCCTGGGGCGACCTCCCGAACACTAGGGATTGCGAAGGCTTTGCTGGAGAGCATGCAGAGAATACCTGCATACCTGTCAGGCTGATCAGGCCCATAGCCTGAAGTGTGCATGCAATGCCAATGGCCGCTCCGATAGTCGGAGGTTTCTCTCCAATGAGTCTCAAGCAAAAGGATCGCATCGTATTTATTTTGCGTTTCACACCAAGCCATAAATTCTTGAAGCATGCCTGAGTTTAAGCCCCCGGTATTCCACACGAAGACCGAAAAGTTCGGGACCGGCCTGCTTCTTTGTGGTCGTGGCTGCTCTGCCATCCTGCCAGAGGGGGCTGAGGTGGCCTGTCCTAGGGCTACTAGGTTTTGACGGCTGTGCCACCTGCCTTTGTACCAGGTACCTCCATTGAGAGCCTGTCCGGCTCGCTTGCATGCTCTGTTGAATGCTCTCTTCGTGCTTTTTGGGATTGAGCGATGTTCCCCGCCTCTGTGCGCTGAGCCGCTTGGCTTCCCCACTGGCTGAAGGATTCCAGCTGTGGGTCCTTCCTCTGTGGCGGCAGCAGAGGACACCCTCACCCCTACCATGGCATACCAGACAACCAGTTTATGAGGTCTTAACAAGGGTCCATGGTCTCCGGAATTGGGACCGGAGCGGCTCAATGTCGCCCTTTGTTTGGGCTGACTGCAGCATTGGACGGCTTGCTGTGGCATCATATTGCAGTGGTGGCATCGTTGGGTTCGGTTACGGTGAGACCTAGGGAAGAAGAGCTTAAGGAAGGGGAACTCGGAGAATTTAGGGATCTTAGGGAGCAGGGGAGGTTTAGGGAGGAGGGTCATTATTCTGCAAAGGACAGAACGTCGGTGCTGTCCTGAGGCTTGACCAGATGCTTTGCCGCAGCCGATGGCTTGCCTGCCAGCAGCTGCACCACGCTTTCGGGCACGAGAGAAGACTGTGCTCGGGCTTTGTGGGTGCAGGACGGCTAGGACCTGAAAAAGTCTATTGCACAGACTGCGAGGGCGTCCAACAGGAGTCGAACCCAGCCGCCTCTTAGTGGCCGGATGGAGCTGCTCGGCCGCTGGTGTGGTAGGCATGAGTGGCTCTGTACTCGAATGAGGCCCATTCTTGCAGATAGATTCCATTGAGTCTCTGGGAGGCCAGGTTCTGTATGTTTTGCCAAGCAGATTGCTGCAGTTTGTGTCGTAGGGCTCCAACACTAGCAGCAACTGATCTGTTGCTGAGCTCTGCATGCTGGTCACGGAGTTGCCGTCGAAACAAATTAATGAACACTTCTCTTGCCTCTTCCAGTTCGGTTCCTTCCAAGATGACAGACGTGTCGGAATACCAACCGTCTGTTTCGCACTCTTCAGTTTCCGCAGCCGACTCCTGATCATTGTCGTCGCTCGAGGAGGAGGAGTCTGAGGAAGATGCCGGGCGAGGGCGCCTCGCTGGCGTCGGCCTCCCTGGCTCATTCCTGTGGCCTGCATCGTGCTGGTCTTCATCAGGCCTTCGTGGCTGGTCGTCGTACGGATCTGGACCATTGACTGGTCTGGGGCGCGGTGGCCCTGCAGGCCGATAGCCTGGATGCCCCTGTGGCAGGGGCCCATCTCTAGCCTCGTCCCGTGGAGTACGGCTAGCATCCACGTCATCGGAAGAAGAAGCCAAGCCATGATCCGACTCTGCATCGTCCATGCAGCTTTGGCCAAAGACAACACACAACCGCGAAGACACCCCGAACCCCGGAACGCCAGAACCCACAGAGGGCCTCAAGAGCTGCGAGCCGAGGGGCTTCACCACCACCACCAACAACACCAGCAGCAACAACAACATCAGCAGCAACAACAACAACAACAGTAGTACGAACAACACTACGAACAACAACAACAACAATAACAACAACAATAACAACAATTATAGCAACAGCAACAACAACAACAACAACAACAACAACAACAACAACAACAACAACAACAACAACAACAACAACAACAACAACAACAACAACAACAACAACAACAACAACAACAACAACAACAACAACGTCGTCAACGACGACAACGACAACGACAACGACAACAAGAACGGCGGCACCAACAACGTCAACGACAGCTACGACAGGGACAACGACAACGACACTACCAGCAGCAGCAGCAGCAGCACCACCACCACCACCAACAACAACAACAACGGCTGCGACAGCAACAACAGCACCACCAATAACAGCTGCAGTAGCTTCGACAGCAGTCAGCGACAAACTCTGCTCGTGACAGCCATCGAACATCATCGAACACCAGCACCACGAAGCACCCTCACCATGACCTCTACCACAACAACAGCTGCACATACAGTAGCAGCACCACATTGCACCTGTTCGTTGCTTTAGCACGGAAGGGCTAGATGACAGATGGCTTGAAGCCGTCTGATGGAATGTCGAAGAGTTTGGTAGTCGTTTGCAACTTGCACTTCCACGCACAAACTGAAGTGGAACGCTTTGACATGCCACACCAGAAGCCTGCAATCCAAGAGCAGTCACATCGAAGCACACGCCGGGCTCGTGAGAAGGCAATTGAGTCCTCAACCGTTGTGTTCAGCGGCTAGACAATGTCCGAGACTCTCGTCGAAGATTGTTGACAATTGCTGCCTACGGAGACTAGTATTGAGCACCCTTGCGTAGATTGCGATGGAGTGGACCAAGCCCTAAGGCCCTAAGGAAGCCCGCCAGCACTACCTGATGCCTGAACACCAGGTCCTTACGGAATCTGTAGTCTCACGCCTCGGGCCCTCTGCACCAAACAACCCCTGGCCGTTCACTGCCAGCTGCTCCTGATGAAGCGCCAGGCTCCCAGATGGGGTAGAAGTGTGTCTTCGAAGCACAACGTGTGTGGAAAGATATTTCTAATTCTGATATCGTTCTACCTGAAACACCCCTCGAATCATACAGGCTGACGTCAAGAAGCATGGGCTTGAACCTTTGAAACCTACCCCTGTTGGTTTGAGGGTGTTGGTGCTCAAGCGGTAGATAAAAGTACATTCCTTAACAAGAACCGACGAAGCTTTGAGCTTTAGCCGCGGAACCATAGTACACAGGCTTCTTGGACTCACACAGGGGGTTTGCTTGGGGTGGTCAGGTTAATTCTGCTCACCGCGTGTTCTAGAACTTAGGCTATCGGTCTGTAGTTTTGGAGTTTAGGATTACATCTTTGGGTGGTGAGTGCACATGTGGCTTGTGCCAGTTGCCGAACATCTGCTTCAGTTGATCCGGAAGTCCACCTTTTCTACGCCCACGAAACTGAACAAAATAGACCCCCGACGAGAGGCAAGTTTGTGTTTGAGTGATGTGTGCAGGGCTAGATGGGCCGTCTCGACCGGGTCTATGAAGGAAGCCATCTGAGTTGAGCGATTTGGGTTGAGGGGGTTTAGGAGTTATAGGGCGTCGGCCACCTGCGACCCGCTCACAACAAAGGCCTTCCGCCGCCTCCTCATTTTGCAATACCCGTAAAACACCACCAAAAACCGAGGCCGTCTCGGATTATGGCAATATAGAGGCTCTTACACGATGAACGGTGCCCTTACGAGGGTCGCGCCGCACCTCATAGCCTCCAACATGTAGATTTCAGGATTTGCAGTGTTGGTTCGGGGCTGCTGGTTTGGCGTGAGGGTATTTAGATCCACTACATACAGTACTCCTTGAGTTTGTTTGCAGAAAACTTTAACGGTCCTGGCCTCCAGCTGCAGAATTTACGCTGAAGTTCACGGAGCATTCCCTGTCTACGGCCGGGAGAAAGAAAACCATGTTTAGTTGAGGCTAGAGTTTGTGGTGCATGCCTCGATTAGGGGATTTGACAGCCCTGAACCCCTTAAAACCCCGAAAGCAATGAACTACCGGATAATGCAAGCCCGCAACTTAAAGCGTCCCCAACCAGCCTCAACTTTCAGCCCTTGTTCCTACATCCTACGTTATAAATCCGAAACCCAGCCAATGAACTTTGCATGCTCCTGCTTCACGTAATGCTAACACGTGTGCGTGATCGCAGTCGACATAGAACCAGCCGAGGCCAGATCTGCAATCCATTCGACCTGTGCTGTGGGGTGCGACGAGCGATTGACAGCTGAGGGAGATTGGGGCTTAAGATTGAAACTTTAGGGATAAAGGACTCGGAGTTTACAGTCATCCATGTGTAGCATGGGGTAGGACTGATTACGTTTCAGGGTTGTTCGGCATGAGGTGGTGTGGAGGTCTGTGCCTATGTGCTTCGGGATTTGAGATTTGAGCTTTGTATTTCGGAATGCAGGTTTTTCAAGGTTGTTGTCGCTAAACATCCGAAATCTTACGTGCAACTTATGCCCGACATTTTTAAATGTGCTTTTTGCACCCTTTGCGCCACAACAGCGCCGTGTAGAAGCCTCCCGCTCCCAGATTCGGAGATGTCCATTCATTACATGCCAAACCGTGGGGTACACACGATGGGGTACCTTGCAGTGGCGCACACTTTTCACGCATGCCCCATTGAACACACGGGATTTGGTCGGCCTTTAATCCGTGTAAGCAGTGCCCTTTCCGGTCCTGCATGCTTTCTGAGCCGTTTCAGCCCGTTTGAATCCTAAACCCCATATTGGAAAAAGGGCCGACCACAAGGAACTCACCATAAAACACAAACCCACAGCTCCTTGAAAAAAAAGGCTCCGCGGACCCATTGCTGTCGGCATAGGAAGACACACCTTCACACCCAAAGAACATATTGAACCAAGATCGTGAAGCCCCAACCCGAAATCCCAAATATTACACCTTACACTAGAAGATCCAGGGCCCCAAGCCACACTTTGGATTCCAAACCTTTCGATCCCACCCGCTTCCCACAACCTGAAGTTCCTGGGCCCGGAGATGTGATTCGAAACCCCAAACCTACGGTTAAGCCCTGCCTGCTGCAGGCATTCCTACATCCTACGTCATAAATCTGAAACCCAGAACCATCCCAGCCAATGAGCTTTAGCCTTAGGCCTTCATCACGCCTTGAATCCTCACAACACCGTTAAACCTAAACACCACCAGGCACATGTACCTGTAGGATATGTGCCCAAAGCACTCGCAGTGCTTGACCTCAACCGTAATTGCGGCATAAGTCCCCGAACTCGCCAAACCTCTGAACCCGAGTCGCCGAACCTGACACGTTGCTCTCGTGCTGCTTTCGCTTTGCAGGCGCCGCCCCCGCAGGCGCATCCGGCGCAGCCAGGCGAGCTCCCATGTGTTCATTCTTGTTTGGGGTTTTTCGTGCTCAGACTTTTGGGTTCATAATTTTCGTCAGGCCTTGTAGAAGTTTTGGGGTCGGAGGATTAGGGTGAATGAGTGCATTTGCTTCGGAACGTTTTCATGTCAGTTTTTGCATTTCATGCTGAAGCTCTGAGCACATGCCACGCGAAAAGAGTCACATACCTTGGCACATGACGTTACTATAAACCTCGTATTACACTTCTCACTGGTCGCGTAGACAACCTCCCATCTGTTGGACGAGGAATCAAGTTTCACAACAAAGAACAAGACGCCAGCCTCAGAATTCGCAGGGTTTGGCATCAACTTCACGAATGATGTCAGCTAGCCGCTAGCCTGTCTTGCCTATGGGGGGGTTGTAGGGGCGGGCGGGAGGGGCAGGGGTGCTTGGGGGAAAAAAAGCAGCCCAAAAGGGGTCTGCACACCCGACATCCAATTTAAAGGGCAGGGTGGTGGGTCAGTCGGGAGGGGATGAGGAGGTGGGGAAACAGGGAATTTCTGTGGGGAACCTCCGACCGCTTCGGCCGGGGCCGAGGCGAATAACGAATACTCGCCTTATCCACCGGAGAAGCATGGCAGTGTGTCTCTAATGTTCCCCCTTTTGACAACCCTTTGGAACAACGGAAAACCGCTAAACAGCCACATGCATGACACCCTGTGGTGGCGAATGAAACCCTTCAAAGCCCTCCCCCAAACCCGAAACCCTACACCCCGATGGTTATTAATAATTATTACTGTCATGGTCATTATCACGATGGTTATTGTGATGATAATTTGTATTATACTCGTATTATTATGATTATTGTTATTACTACTACTACTAGTATTATCTTTTCTTGCTCATTTCGGACCAGGTGCCGACACTCAGGTCGGCACTCAGATCGAGGATGAGGCTGGACCCTTTGGGTTTGGAGTTTCAGGCTTAAGGGAGCAAGCGGATATCCTTAACTTCCATTACCCCACAACCAGAAGCCTACACAGATCTAGGGAGGTGTCTTAGTATTTCCGGTTGTACGGAGTTAAGACCGTGGCAAGGCTTTGGGTTTGGTGTTGTGGGGTTCTTCATTGCGGTATGCACAAGTTTTTGGGGCTCAGACGTTTGGAGATATAATTTTCGTCACGCCCCGGGCCCCGAGCCGGGGCCTATAGAAGTTTTAGGTGTCGGAGGATTAGGGTTTAGAGTAAAGCTTTGTAGGAGTTTGTGGTACACGCCTCAGTCCGTAGGCTTGAGAGGTGGAGTCTTGGGCTTCGCATACTACGTAGGCTTTCTTGAGAGGTAAGTCAGGGGTTTAGGGTTCAAGGTCTGGGGTTTCGGGCGCATAGGGTTGTATAGGGGCTTCACTATAGAGCTTGAAGAAGCGTTTGATAGGTCTATCGGGATTTGTATGGTCTTGCAGTAAGTTTCCAGCAGGTTGTGTA